CATAGTCTGAGGTCAAAGCCACAGGCCTGCCCTGAGTCATCCCAAAGCTGACTCCTCCCAGCTGGTACCCTTGACCTGCAGCCCCAGGCTAGCTGGGAAGCGCTGGGCAGGTGAGTGCTAGCAGCCGGGAGGACCTCAGGACTGCACTGTCAGCCCTGCCCCGTGGAGCCCACAGCTGCCTTGGGAGAGAAACCCAAGTCGCCTTTCTCGCTTTGCTATGGAGGCCTCCCCGAGGTGCTCGGAAAGAAGAGGGGCCTTGTAACGCTTCAACCTCTGCTCCTGACTAGGACAGTTGGGGGCAGCCACTGAGGCCACCACAAGACAGCCCCTTGATGGCAGGGTGCCCCTTTCACCTTGGTGCATTGGGCACTCCACCAAAGAACAAGCCAGGACACCCAAGGGCCTGTCCCAGCCAGCAATTCCTGGTCTTACCAACTCAGGAACAACTCGGGATTCTGTTCCTTTAATACATGAAGGAATGAGCAAACGCTGCCAACAGACACAGGAAAGAAGGAAGAAAGAGGTAGTTGGACTCTCTTTCTGCTGTCTTGTTTATGCTTGTGAATGCTTAGTGTTCATGAGGAGGAGGAGGCAAGGATCTGACAAAAGATCTGGCATGGCCACAGCTACCCCAGGCACCCTGGTGTGATGGCTCCCAGGTACGACTTCCAATAAGAAATACACTTGAAGAATCATTCAAACTACACAACCTGGAAAGTGTAAAAGAGGATCTCAGGATAGGCGAAGGCTCTGCAGCCTTGAGGTGAGGACAGCGGAGTTCTGAGCATCAGAGAACCAGGCCAACACTGCAATCTTCTTTTTAAACTGAAAACAGGAAGTTTCTGATCTTTAGGGCAGGAGGAGGAAGGCATGCAGTGAATCATGAAGCATACAAATCATGGACTGTTATTACCATAAGTGAGAACACAATTTTCCAACTTGGGCTCCAGCACCAGGAGTTTCAAAGGGAAGTTTTCCCTGGTTGTACAGAAATCCAACAGATGTTGGAGTTGGGCAGAAAGACCAAGAAAAAGAAACAGTGTGGTGCCTATGAACGCAGCATCCAGGGCTGCCTCCCCTGACTGGTACACAGCTGCCAGAGAGGCCTGCACCCTGGCCAGGGGGAGATTCACCCCAAGTTTAGTCCTGATGGAGGCACAAACAACCTGCACGCCTGGGCTTAAAGGACGAAAAGGTAAGCTGAGGCAGAAAAAAACAGGAAACCAATAGAAGACTGAGTAGGGACAGCTGACAGCAGGACAAGGGTGGGAAGGGAGAAGCTCTGCTGGGACAGGCACAAGCCCAGGCCCCAGAACAGCAAGTCCATAAAGGAGTGAGGCGGTGGCACCCTGGCCATCTTACCTTGTCACATCTGGGGCTGAGGCCGGGTGGACATGCTTCATGATGGTTTGGATCCAATTCCGCCGGATGCCGGACGTCATAGCAGAGAGGGTGAACTTGCCCTCCTTTGTCTACAAGGCAGACAAAGACAAGGTGTCTTTGGTGACCTCACCTCCCACCCCCAAAGGAAGGCCTACAGGGAGGACTGTGGCCAGTGCCACCTGTGTGCCCCACTCAGGATAAGTGAGAGCTGGAGAGCAAGGGAAGACCAAAGCCGTGGACACTTGTCTGCTTTTATGGCAATGGCTACCTTGAGCAGCCATTCACCAAATGCCTGTTAACGCCTCTGCACTGGGGCCACTCACCCTGCCCTTTAAGCAGCACATGGTCAGCAAGTGAGAAATGGCCTCTGGCACCACACAAGCGGAGGGGTGGGACGCATGGGTAGCATCCTGTGTGGAGGCCATGCCCTGCCTCTGCACCTGTGAGCTCCCACTTTGTGGAATGAGGGTGTCAGCACTGTTCTTTAAGCTGCTCAGGCTACTTGTAAATGAACCCGTGAGACTCATCCGCAAATCAGCGTGTAGGAGATGAGCTCACCAAGACAGTTTTGGGATGGGCAGTGGCACTGCTAGGGGCCAGAACACAAGAGCCTTTGTCCTGGGCTGCAGCGCTGCACAGCGCAGCTTGGACCTTGCCTCGCCCTCCGCCACAGGCCCGCACCCCAGCACACCTCCCCTATCATCGGTTTCCCTGGGAGTAAGCCCACATGGGGTTACCCCCAGGCTCGGTGAGGTGCTGGCCCCTCCTGTCCCAGCTCTCTCTGTACCCCACTTCTCTCATCCCTGGGTGCTTCCAGAGTCTCACCTCAGTGATCTCCGAATTTCTTCCTATCACCTCACCTCTCACCTTCAGTGAGCTCTTTCCTAACCTGGGCCCACGCTCTGGCTGCTTGCCTGATGTTCTTAGAGAACGTGTCATGGCCTCAAACTGCCACCAGCCAGTACTCTAGAGGCTCCCCTCCTTCTGCAGGCTTGCCATGCTCTGGGACACACGACCCCAGCCCTGCCCCCTCCCTCACGAGGCTGGAACCCCAGCCCGCACGCCTTCCTCACGGCGCCTCGCACTGCCCCATTCTCTCCTTGCCCACCACCTCTGTGCCTGCCTGCTTGGCCTCCTGTGTCTACCTTGCCTCCTCCCAGGCCACTCTGCGCATGCTGCCAGGTGTGTCTTACTAAGGCAAGGCCACCTCGTGTCTTCCACCACGTTTCAGGGCTTTCCACGATCCCAGGACAAAACTGACTCTCAACCTGACACACAGGGCTCCCAGGGAACCACCCCGACCCAGCTTCTGCCCTCATCTCCGGGCCTCACCTCTCAGGATTCTTTAGCTCTTGGGCTGAGCCCCTTCAGGAAGCTTCCCTACTATGTTGAAAGCAGTCTCTCCTGAGTCACAACCTTCAGTGCATGGGGCTCACAGAAAAGCAGCACAACTTGGGAGAAGCTCACTGCCCCCAACCAAGGGTAAAGTGAAGAGGGGTCAGACTGATGGGTGAGATCAGCCAGAGTGTACAGGTGACTCAGAAACACCCTTGCCATGAGGAGGAAAATAGGTGGATTCTCAGCAAACTAGCACCCATGTGGTTCAGGTCACAGCGTCACTGAATACAAAGTAACCCTAGAACAATTAAGTTGTGACCTGCTCAGTGATGGGAGCTGACTTAGTGACAGACCACCTCTTATTTCCAGGATGCCCTGCCCAGAGAAACCTGCTCTTCAAGATGGGCAGGTGGGAGTGAGGGGCAGGGCCCAGAAAGCCAGAACTTGCCACTGCCTCCAGTGCTGTCCAAAGAGAGGAGGCTCAGGGTTTAGTTCTTCTGCCCCTCATCCTATAGGGATGAGGGGCAGAAAAGTGTCACAAAGGGCTGGCAAAGGCCACCAAGACCCACCAGCTCATGCCCTGGAGTCAGGTCATCGGTACAACCTCCACCTGTGATCTGGTGCCCACACAGACAGCCCACATGGAGGGAATGCCAACGACCAGCAGCATGGTGGGCTGGCAGCTGGCTCTCTCCTTATAATGAATTCACTGGCCTTTGGGTCTGAGCCTCTGTCTCTAAGTTTGGTTAATACAAGTCAGTCCTAATGTACCTGATCTACTCTGAGTCCAGGGATACTACCGAGTTTCTGGGCCCAAAGATCTGAAGGTATGACCCTGTTAAAGGTGATCCTACTGGAATTCTAGCCCTCTTTGAGAAACCAAGTCCTGGGACATGCCTATATGGTGGCATGCTCTAGGACATGCCTCTGCCAGGCTACTTGCTACATATCAGGCACTCCAAGTAGGGCTCTTGTAAGGAAGAATTAGCTTTGCCCAAAGAGAGGTCTGGCCTTTGTCTCAGCTCTTGAGAGGTAACCTGTGAGACCCTGTTCTTCAGATGGGGCTAGTCATGCAGAAAGCCCAACCATGGACTGACACGGCTGGGGCTTGGGCCACATGAAACCAGCCAGCTGCCATGGGAGGGTTGCAAATTATGCTCGACCACATGGGCAATAACTTGGTCACGAGAGCTATGGGATCTCAGTGACATCCTGGCTGCTGAGACTTGGGCGAGCTTCCTGGGCTGGAAGCTCTGTGTACTGCCGCACATCACCTGAGAGGGTAACACACCCCTCAGGACACGAAAGCTTCCTGTTCAGGGCCCTCCCAGTCCAGCTCTCCTTGGGTCCCTCCCTCTGGTTGGTTATGATTTGCAGCCTTCTGATGTAATAACTAGTTGTAAGTTCCGAGTCATTCTGGCTAACTCTTGCACCTGAGGGCAATTATGGGCACTGCCCCCAAACTTGCAGTTGTGTCAGAATGAGAACAGACTATGCCCTAACCTTGAGCCCGGCTGCCTCTAGGTAGCCCTTGGGCCATCAGCTTTGATGAACTGCCCAATGAGAACCGTTTCATTTGTCCAATCAGATTATTTTTTTCTGAAGGGAGGGGCAATGCCCTTATCTCAGTCCTGACAAGGTTGTGGGAAAACAAAGGACCTTGAGTGGATGAATGAATGTACAAACAAAACAGTAAGTGAGAAAGAACCTGGTACTCTTGAGAGTTAAACAAGTAGCCCTTTCATTCTTACTCTCCATGTCCCTGGTGCCTTATCCGTCTAACTGACCCAAACTTCAGTGTTTAAGAAAAAGGAAGAACCTTCAGTGACAAAAATATAAACAGTATTGAGAAGACAGACACTGATGTGTAACTTTTGTTCAGAGAGCAAACAGAGGGCGGGCTTGGGTGCTGCAGGACAGACAGGACAGGGCACCAACCCTGAGGAGAACGTGTGTCTGCCAGGCATGCAGGTCAGGCCTGCCCACAAATGTCCCCCAATCAGGACATCAAGCTCTTGGAGAAACGTCCCAGCCAGCCAAGCTCATGCCTCCCACCTCCACACCATGCCTGTCTCCGAACTCTGCCCCAGGCTCACGTGTATCTGAAAGCCGTAGTTTCTCTGGACTGGATGCTCTGTGACATCATAACAGGCAGACAAGTCGATTTCCCCGTCCAAGTCAGCTGCCTGCGGAGAGAAACGAGAGTGTCTTGAGAGATTTAGAAAGTAAGAGTCAATGCAAGAGGAGCAAATTTCCATGTTAACTTTTTATTTATTTATTTTTATATGGAACACCTCACGAACTTGCATGTCATCCTTGCACAGGGGCCATCCTAATCTTCTCTGTATGGTTCCAATTTTAGTATATGTGCTGCCAAAGCGAGCATATGTTAACTTATTTTTAATGGGCAAATTGTTCCTCCGCCACGAACACCATCGTTAACCCTGTGCATCCTGCCCTATACTGGGGATTCTCAAACATGATGTCAAAACCCCTTTACCCCCTCAAATATTGAGGACCCCAAAGAGTATTTCTTTATGTGGGTTTTGTCTATTGATCTTACCATATTGTAAAGTAACTGAAAAAAGTAAACATATTTACTCATTCAAGAACATGAATAATTTCATTTTTAATAAGAAATATTTAAAAAATCATAAGAAATTTTTGTCAACTTCTTTAATGCCTGGCTTCTAAGTACAGTTGGACTTTCATGTCTGTTTCTGTATCAATCTGCTTGATACATTATTTTGCTTAAAGTATATGAGGACAGTCTGGTCTGATGCAGATACAGAGTTGGCAAAGGAGATGTATTCTAATGTTTTCTTCAGATAATGACGACTATTTTCTTTGACAAGTGGTGGTTTTCTTTTCTCCCCTAGTTGTATTGGGAAATAACTGACATATGTCATTGCATAAGTTTAAGGCAGACAGCATGATGGTTAGATTTACACATATTGTGAAAAGTGATGGTTTCTTAAAGGTTAACTGCAAAGTGGGAATCTGAAATCATATCAGAGAATGTTCTGTACTCTGTTACATTGAAACTCAGTTTTATCCTGCACTCTTGATGCACCTTTTACCACACATGGTTTTGTAACATTATGTATTGGTCATCTGGAAGACACTGAGGTACGCCCATCTCCAAAATGTTAACACATTTTATTATACATATCAAAACATCACATCCGTTAGTATCCCTGTCTATTTCATCAGGAGAGTCTGTAGTAAAGGGAAGCTGTCAAGTTCTGATGGTGAACACAGTTTTCCAAAGTTCCAATTATGTTTGAGAGGTCAAACTGTATGATGGGCAACAGATTCCGTCAGTTTTCTTTGAGAAGGCTCACTTGGTTCATTTTCAAGAAAAAGTCTCAAACACCCAAACTGAGCGACCACTTGTCTGTGGGTCACTTTCAAGGGACTCGCCTCACTGTCCATTTCCAATCACAGAATATTACAAAAATGAGTATTCAAGGATTGGGACTTCATTTAGTAACTTTTACTGTCCTGTCAAAGCCATGAGAGAGTGGTACTGAAGGACACATGGCTGGATGCCATGTGCTGCCACGGTCTGACCCTGCCAAGGTGCCTGCAGTCCTGCCCACCACAGCTTCCACTATCAGTGCAAACTTCCAATGCAATGAGAAAAGTACGTGTCATTCTAGTTTTATAATAACAGCTGTGAGTATCCCCCCCACCTCTCTGAAAGGGTCTCCAGGGCCCACAGAACACACTCCGGGAACAGCAGCCTTATGCATGGACAGTCAGACAGTCTCACCGGCTCCTGCAGTCCCTGGCTTCAGGAGCCACCACAGGCCCACCACAACTACTACTACCATTCTACGTCTGCCTTGTATCACTAGTATCTTTTCACTACAGTCCATAAAGAATGTAGTATTTTTTAGGGTCAGGGTACATAAATACAGTTGGCCCCTGAACAATGTGGGGGTTAGGGGCACTGACCCCCACACTGCCGAAAATCTGACTCCGCCAAAACTTAGCTAACAGCTTATTATTGACTGGAAACCTTACCAACAACATAATTAACACGTATTTTGTATGTTTGATGTATTATGTACTATATTCTTACAATAAAGTAAGCTAGAGAATAGGTGTTTTCCAAATTGTCACAATAAAAAAATGTTTCCAATATATTTATTGAAAAAAAACCCCTAACCTCCCATATAAGCGGACCCATGCAGTTCAAATCTATGTTGTTCAAGGATCAACTGTACACATAACCAGCTCCCTAATGGCAGATATTTAGGCTCTTCCCAATCTTCTGCTATTATAGAAGAGCAGGAACAATTAGTCTGAGACATGGGAACATACCTGAGGGATTCTTAGAGTGCAATGCAAGGGAAAAGTAGGAACACAGACTTGCCAAATTGCTCAAAAGAGATCTATTTTTTTGGTAAGTGAAGAAAAAAGAGCCCCTTCTGGTTGGTCTTTGACCATGGAACCAGGCCTATCAACTGGGCCAACCAAATTCATCTGCACTCCTATCTTTGTCCAGCAGACAGGGACAAGATGTAGTTTAATTCTTTGAAAGACTTAATTCACCACAAAATCTCCCTGTAGAAAAACACAACAGCTCATACTGAGTTTTAAAATAAGACATTTTCTAGTGCTTTTCAAAGAACAGAGAAAAGAAAAAGTTGCTGAAGCCCACAATCCCACGTGGCTAAAGCAGGGCCTCAAAAGAGTCAAACACAGGCAGGCCCCAATCACAAGAACATCAAAGGCTAGCAGCACCCTCCCTGCTCAGACTTCCCAGCAGACCTGGGCTGGGGACTCTAGACCGCCACGCAGACACCCATCAACAGACAAAAGGAGAAGCAGGAGGAACCAGGGGCAGGCCGGAGGCGCCCGGGTGCCACTGGACCCCTTCAGCTGCCTCTGCAACAGGGGAGAAGCCAAGACACTCACCTCCTCAGCCACCGAATCCCTGTAGTATCTCAGGCTTTGATCAGCAAGGACAAACCAGTATTTCTTCCACTAAAAGAGAAGGAAAACAAGACTCAACTACCATGTAGCCCACTTACTTCTCCAAGGTGACCTATAGCCAATCCTGGGGCACCCCCCAGAGCACAGGTAAAGCAAAGGGCAGGCAGCCCCTCCCGTGAGTGGAGGACACACAGAGGACTCTGCTTAGGCCACAGGCAGCCATGCGTGCTTGATCTCAGGGCACTTGCTGAGCCGCGGCTCCCCACTGACGAGGCAGCACGGAGCTGGGGTAGGCCACAGGTTGTGGGCTCCCTGTAACCCACAGTGGTGTGGCTGGTGAACAGTGCTCCGCTGTTCTCAATCTCATTCCAGAGGCTGCAAAAGTGGGTGGGCCCTCAGCACTGAAAAGTGGTGTGAAAATGGCATCTCCACCCTAAGGTAGCTGTCCATGAGCCACAGCCACTGGCAGGCTCAACAGAGGGGCACGCCCACCTGCAGCCAGCAGGATCAAACCAAGCAGCCAGAGTCCCAAGTCTTCACTGTAAGTAGCAAGGAGGCAGACTTGAGTCTTCAGGGAAGGCCAAGGGGATTGATATGGAGGAGAAAGAAACACAGGATGTTTCGGCACAATCACTCAGAAAGCAGAAAGGGGAGCGTGGGAGTGCGGGTTTGGGGCCTCTGGTGGGACCTAGCAGGCTCTTCTTCATGCCTCCTTGGAGGCCTGGCATTCTGCCCCAGGCAGGATCAAAGTGGAGCTGGCAGGTCCAGCTGCAAATGGCTCTTCCTGCTCACATCTGATGGCAAGAATGTGCCACAGTGGCTCTTCCCAGGACAGCGGCTGAGCTGGAGACTGAGCGGGCACAGCTGTGTGTGGTCCTTGGCGGCTACCCACCTGGCTGCAACCCCAAGCCACCCCCACAACCAGGGGCTTTCGCTGTCCCTGGGAAGCCTGGGCTCTCAGGGAACCTTTGGGAATATCACCAGGTGGAGAACTAGTGTTGCAGGATGTCCCCATGGCTTGAGGCTGAGATTGCTGCTGGATACAGACAAGCAATCTATCACACTGGCAGCAGGCACACCTAGCTGGTGCCTCTCCATTGGCCCCCACCTGACAGAACTGGGGTGGGACAACTGGATGTCTCCCCTTCTCTGAGGAGGTGTGGTTCGTGGCCACAGGACTGGTCTAGGAGACAAGGGGCATGATGAAGCTGGGGATGGGGCAGAACCTCACACCTGCTCCCTGGCCCACCAGGAGCACAGCAGTCCTGGGCACTCACCTGGCCATCCTCGTACTGCTTGGTCAGCCAGCCTTTCTTGAAATTCAGTAGGTCAGGCTGAGAAAGGGAGAAAAAGAACAGTTCAGAGGAAAGCACTGCACTGAGGCATCCTGGTCGTGGGCAAGGGGTGATCAAAGGGGCAGAGGCACTTCTACCCAGATGAGGTGGGCAGCAGGAAAAGGGATTTCTCTGCCTGCCAGATAAGCCCCGTGTGGTCCCCTGGCCCCAGTGGGTGCTGCCGGAAGGCACGCCACAGGCACGTGTGTCTCCTGAGGAAGAAAATACGAGGCTTGCCAGGCTGACAGGCAGGAAGGACATGGCCCCTTGACCCAGGGCTGTAGCAGCAGGGCTGTTGGCTGCTCTGAGACAAGCCCTGCTACAGGCAGGGGCTACCTTGGAGGCTGAGAAGAGCAGCCCAGGCAATCCTCCTCAGTTTAAGTGAAGGGGAAGACCTGTAGTGATGGCTGAAAGAATTCAGAAGCCCTCACAGAAGCCACAGGAAGACTGGGAGGAGACAGAACAGAAGACCAAGGAGCAGGGATCATGTACTAGAGGATGAGTTTTGGTTTCCATGTCCCTATAAGAAGCAAAAGCAGGACAGTAGCCAGCACAGGCCCTGCATGGGGTGTGGTCCCTGCTGGTCTGTCAAGCACCTGTGTGTCCAAGGCTAAGGAATGGCCCGAGAGCGCCTTTAGGACCACCTGCGGACCGTCTGCAGCCTGCCTGGCCTCTCCTGCATCTCCGCACGGGCACCTGTACGGCCAGAACCTATAGAGACAGGCATTCTCCTTCCCCTTGCCCCACGTGCTCTCTTTCTAAGCCATCTTGACCACAGACAGCCGTGGCATCTGTGTGTTCCAGACTGCAAGGGAGTCAGGAGAGGTGCAAAGTGGCAGGACAACGACCAGCAATATGTGTTCTCAGAGCCTCTGCTCCAAACCCTTGAGCACAACCCAGACTCAAGGAAAAACTAAGCTTCATCCAGGTAAGAGGCTCCTGTCCTTGCCCTCCATTTCACGTTAGTGTGCAGACGGTGGCCCCACGCCCTGGGGGAAACATGGCACCAGCCCTGCACCCCTCAGGAAGCTGAGGAAAAGACAGAGGGGAGCCACAGAGCACTGCGTGCAAGCAGCTGCTCTTCACTCCTACGGCCTCTGGCGTGCCT